GGTCACGCTGTCTCCTGGCACGGCCGCTCCAGACCCGTCGCCATCTTGGTTTATAAAATTCTTAAGTCTGGGAACTGCTATATTTGAACAACAGTTGTCAATATTGGAAGTGCTTTTACAGGCTATATGCAAATAGAGAGTCAATAACTTTGGGAAATAGTGGTTGGACTACCTGTTGCTTAGAAAGTCACTACATATGTTAAGAAAGTAAATGCTCCGAGAAGTCCTGCCCACTGCATATATTAAGAAAGTAAAAGCTCTGAGAAGTCCTGCAATAAAAAAAAACTGTTTTATATTGTTTAACCCAGTGTTTCAAAAGCTTATTTTAAAACGGTACTTTTTTTCCTCTTAATAATTGATAAGTTTGAGGAATGCTGCTGGAAGGTTTTCCAAGGGCCATAGGATTGCATTCATTTTCTTAAGACTATTTTTTAGAACAGCTTAGATTTACAGAAAAATTGAGAAGATAGTAGAGTTCCCATATACCCCACACCAAGTTTCCCCTATTATTAACATCTTACATTTAGTATTGCACATTAGTTAACGATTAATAAACCAATATTGATTCATTATTAATTAAAGTATGTTCTTTATTCAGATTTCCATAGTTTTTTTTTCAAAGGTTCTTTTTCTGATCCCAGGATCCCATCCAGTGTAGACACATTATATTTAGTCTCTTTAGGTTCCTCTTGGCTGTGGCTGTTTTTCAGGCTTTCCTTGTTTTTGATGACCCTGATGGTTTTATCCACATGATTTATGACTGTTGATGTTACCTTGATCACCTGGCTGAGGTAGTATTTGTAGTCTGTCAGGTTTCTCTGGTGTAGTTTCTCTGTCATCCCCACCCACTTTCATACTACACGTTTTGGAAGGAAGTAACTATGTGCAACTCATGTCTAAAGAGTGGGGAGTTATGCTCCTCACTTTTTAACACCCTTATTGAGATTTGCATACCATAAAATTTACCCTTTTAAATGTACAATTCAGTGGTTTTAACATATCCACAGAGCTGTGCAACCATCATCACTATCTAATTTCAGAACATCATCTCTCCAAATAAACGCCATACCCCCAGCAGTCACTCCCATTTCCTCCTTCCCCCAACTCCTGGCAACCATTAATCTGCATTTTGTCTCTATGGATTTACTTATTCGGGACATTTCACATAAATAGAATCATACAATATATAGCCTTTGTGACTGGCTTCTTTCACTTAGCATAATGTTTTCAAGGTTCACCCATTTTGTAGCATGTATCAAAACATCATTCTTTTCTTGCGAACATCATTCTTTTTTTTTGCCAAGTAATCGTCCACATTTTATGGATAAATCACTTTTTGTTTATGTGTTCATCAGTGGATGGACATTTGGGTTGTTTCCATTTTTTGGCTATTATAAACAACATTGCTCTGAACATTTATGTATAAGTGTTTATATAAACATATGTTTTCAGTTCTCTTGGGTATACAGCTATGAATGAAACTGCTGGGTAATGTGATAATTCTATGTTTAACATTATGAGGAATTGCCAAACTGTTTTCCAAAACAGACAAATCTTTTTTTTTAGAAATCTATCAGCAATGTATAAAAGGATCCAATTTCTTCATATTTTTTGATTTTCTATTCTTTTGCTTGTAGCCATCTTAGTGGGTGTGAAGTCATATCTCATGGTTTTGATTTGCATTTTCCTAATGACTAATGATGTTGAGCCTCTTTTAATTTGCTTATTTGCCATCAGTATATCCTCTATCCTATTGAGAAATACCTATCCAAGTCTTTTGACGATTTTTAATTGGGTTATCTTTTTATTGTTGAATTGTAAGAGACCTTTACATATTTTAGGTACAAGACCCTTATTGCACATATGATTTGCAATATATGTTCTACCATTGTTTTAGTTCTCTTCACTTTCTTGATGGCTTCTTTTGAAGCACAAAAGATTTTAATTTCAATAAAGTAATATTTACCTATTTTTCTTTTGTCACTTATGCTTTTGTGTCAAATCTAAGAAACCACTGCTCAATCTAAGGTCACAAAGATTTACTCCTGTGTTTTCTTCTAAGGTATTTATAGTTTTAGCCCTAACATTTAGGTCTATGATATATTTTGAGTTAGTTTTTCATATACAGTGTGAGGTAGGGATCCAACTTTAATTTTTAACATTTGTTCCATTTCATCATTGAGTTGAATTGTCTTGGCACCCTTGTCAAAACCAGTTTACCATAAATGTAAAGGTTTATTTATTCCACTGGTCTATACGTCAGTCCTTATGGAAGTACCACACTGTTTTCATTACTGTAGCTCTGTAGTAGATTTTGAAATTGAGGTGTGAGTTCTGACTTTTTCTTCTTTTTTGAAACCGCTTCAGCTATTCTCAGGAATTGAATTTTCATATGAATTTCAAATTCAGCTTACTGAGTTTTATCAAAAAGGCAGCTGAGATTTTTTGATAGGGTTTGAATCTATAGATCAATTTGGGGAGCACTGCCATCTTAACAGTGCTAAGTGCTAAGTCTTCTGACCCTTGCATATGAGATATTTTCATTTATTTTGATCTTTAATTTCTTTCAACAATTCTTTGTAGTTTTCAATGTACAAATCTTGCACTTCTGTTAAAATTATACATAAGTATTTTATTCTTTTAGATGCTATTGCAAATGAAATTGTTTTCCTAATTTCCTTTTTGGGTTTTTCACTTCAAGTGTATAGAAATACAATTGACTTTCATACGTTGGTCTTGTATCCTGCATCATTGCTGAACTTGTTTATTAGTTCATATATATATAAAGATATATATATTTCTTTAGGATTTTCTATATGCACAATCAAGTCACCTGTTAATAGAAATAGTTTTACTTCTTTTCTAATCTGGATGACTTTCATTTCTTTTTCTTCCCTAATTGCCATGACTAGAACCTACAACAGCAAAAGTGCACATCCTTGCCTGGTTCTTGATCTTGGGGAGAAAGCATTCAGTCTTTTAGCATTGCTTATGATGTTAGTTGTGGGTTTTTCATAGATGTCCTTTGTTATGTTGAGGAAGTTCCCTTCTATTCCTTGTGTGTTTGGTGTTTTTAATTATGAAAGTTTGTTGAATTTGTGAAGTGTTTCCTTTGTCAATTGAGATGATAATGTGGTTTTGTCATTTATTTTATTAATGTGGTGAATTATACTGATTGATTTTTGTATGTTGAACCACCCTTGAATTCTTGCACCCTGGGATAAACCTCACTTAGTTATGGTTTAAAATCCTTTTTATATCTTGCTGGACTTAGTCTGCTAGTATTTTGTTTAGGATATAAATCTGTAGTTTTCTTGCGATGTCTTTTTCCGGTATTGGTATCAGGGTACCAGTGAGGAACCCAATCCTCATATGAGGGCTCACTTCATAGAATGAGTTGAGAAGAATTCCCTTCTTTTCTATTTTTGAAGAGTCTTTAAAGAATTGGTGCTAATTCTTCTTTAAACATTTGACAGAACTCACCGGCAAACCATCTGGGCCTGGGTTTTTCTATGTTCTTATTCATGTTCATACTATCAGTGGTTAGCAAAGGCCTGGCTGGGTGTTCCTGCTGGACACTATGGAACATGAGGACTTTTTATTTCACCAGGGCCTTGATGTGTTCAACAGACAGGTCTTCTGAGCACTTGTCCTGACCCATTCTATGGGGTCACAAGCGAGGTTTATCCCCCTGCCCTTTGGTGGGAAGGAGACTGAACACCCAGTTTTGGGACAGACATACTCACCATCATCCAGAATGACCAGCAGTGGAGCCAGGAGGTCACACATGCCTTGGACATAGCCGATCTCAATGTGCTGCCAGATGTAGCTATGAGAGACACAAGGGGCCAAATGATGGCACACACAACTCGCTCTCCCACCCACTTCTCTTTTCCTTCCTCCCCTTTTTGGTCCCTATCCCTCACTGGACCACTCCCCAACCTCCTGCCTGAATCCCCATCCCCATCCCCAGTCTCACTCTCTTCAAACATCTTATATGCAGTCACCAGGAAGACCTTCCTAAAGATGAGTTCAAGGAAGACAGTGCATGTTCAAAAACCTTCACAAGCTCCCCACTGTCTGATGGGATGATGTCTGAACTCCTTTACCGGGGGTACAAAGCATTCATAGTCTCCTCCCAACTCATCTTCACAGCCTCACACATCACTTCCTAGTACCACTCCCTCTCCAGCCACACTGAGGTATTCATTTTGCACAAATAAATTACACATTTATGTCTCTGTGCCTTTGTTCTAGCAGTTCTCTCTGTCTGGAATTCTGATCTATTCCTTACTAATAATAGTCTATATTTACTGGGCACTTATTGTATACTCAGCCCTCTATACATGTATTGCACCATTTAATTTTCAAAATAATCATAGGAAATGGGTACCATTATTATATTATTTCGCAGATGAGGAGACTGAAGAATACAGAAGTAAATGACATGCCCAAAGTCATATACCTAATAATAAGTGGCAGAGGCAGTGTGTGAACCCAGGAAGCCTTACTTGAGGATATGTGATC